TTGCTAGTTTCGAGAAGGAAATCATAATGAGTTTAAACTCTGTGGAAGAGAAATGTCTTTCAAGCATCAATCCAGAAGCTTCTGAAGAATGCTGGGATAAGTTCATTGCCAGATTCAATGTTGTTGCTTCAAATCTGAAGAGTGTCTGCTCTGATGATGCAAAGATCAGATTCGCTGAGCTTACCAGAATAATGCTTTGTAATGTAACCAGATCTCCTACTTTGCTTCTTGAGAATGCACCTTCATCTTCTGGAGTGTCTGCTACTTCTGAGACTATTGAAGGATCTGCTTCTGAAGTCATTCAGGAAGAGAATCCTTTGGCTCTGATGGTTGTGGAAAAATCATCTGCATCTGCGCCTCCAGAATTTGCAACTCTAATGGAAATTGACTCCGCTCCTACTCCTGCATCAGACTCTGCTCCGTCTACTTCTTCTGAGATCAAGAAAGAGAACCCAAAATTAGAAGATAAGATTGTTGTGCTGGAAGCTGGTCAATCTGAGATTAAGTCCTGGATGGCTAGGCAAGATCAGAAGACTGAAAACATTGAGAAGTGGATGTCCAAGCAAGAAGAATCTTCTTCTGAGATCACTCACCTTCTGAAGATGCTTCTTTCCAAACAGTCTTAGATTTATGTTTTCTTTATCTGATGTTTGAGCACTTATTTGAATTTCTCATCTGTTGTTTTGTCTGCTCTATCTGAATATCTATTTGAATGAATGAATGAATCTGAATGTTTTCTCTATTTGATTATATCTTTTCTCTCTGTTTCTTTTATTTGTCTTTAAAAGTGTTTCTTTTTTATTATGATAAAAAGGGGGAGAAAAAATGGAATTCAGACATATCAAATGATAACTAACGTGAATTTTTAGTATTTCAGAACCTTAATGATAAATCAGACAAATTCTTTAAAGTAACTCTGAGATCCCCAAATCAAGTTTTAACCAATCAGGCTCTGATTCTGAAACATTCATCCAAATCAAGCTCTAATTTTAAACACTCAGGCTTTGATTCTGAAAAGAATACTCATGCAAAAAGGGAAGTTTCTATTCTTTCTTAGTATTCAATTCAGGGGGAGATCCATAATCTCAGGGGGAGTTATAATTTACCTTTTATTGATCAAAATTTCTTATGTTTTTGTCATCATCAAAAAGGGGGAGATTGTTAGAACACAAATTGGTTCTTAGTTATATCTCTATATTTTAATGATAACACTTATGAAATTTTGTATTAAGAAATTATATACTCTAAATTTGTTCAAGTTTTTTTACTGCAGATATTAAATTTAATATTTTTCTGAAAGCAAAAATGGATCTGAACGTTGAACTACGCAAGACTCTGAAGCTTCAGAAGCATCTCTGTGAAGACTCTGAGCGCTGCCTATAGAAGACTCTAAGCGCTGCCTACAGAAGGATCTGAAGCGTAGACTGAAGACTTTGTATGAAGAGTTTCAAGCACTGTTTTTCAGAAGACTCTGATAGTACTGTTCGCTGCAAGTACTGAGGATCTAATCTCTAAACTCTGCTCTGATTAATTACACGCTGAAGCACACTTCCTGCAACACTCTGATACAACAAACTCTGAAGAACATCAAGACTCTGATCACTCAAGACTCTGATGTTAATTACTGTGAATTAGAAACTTGTTGAAGAAGATTATTCGAAGTTATATCTGTTGGTTATGCCAAACGACTCTTTCCTCTTTTATGCTAGACACAAGAACTCAGGCAAAAAGGATTTCTCTGAACATTCTACTTCTAAGAAAGGTCAAGTGATGTGAAGACAAAAGGTTACAGCTACTTTGCAGTACACGATCTTCAAGCTTGCAACGTCTTGGACTTCTAAGTCTATAAAAGCAAGCCTTCAACAACTTTCTTCAGTTGACGATTATTGAAAGAAATTCATTAAAAAGCTCTCATACAAATTATTACTCTTTGCTGAATTTATTTCATACGTTCTGAAACTTAAGTGTAAATCACAGTTGTGATATAGCTTACTTAGAAGCATTCAAACACTTGTTTAGTTTACATTTGATTGTAAAAGTTCCTTGAGAAGACCAAGTTGTGGTTAGTAGTTCTTGAGAAGACTAAGAACAGTTGTTCTTAGTGTTTGATATTGTAATCAGTTTGATTATAGTTGATTAAGTCCTTGTGGAGAAAGGCAAATCACTCTTGATAGGGTGGACTGGAGTAGTTGAGTTCAACGAGGCAGGATAAAAATTATTGTGTTTTTATTGCCATAATATTTTCAAAATCCTTATTAAACCCCCCCCCCCCCCTTCTAAGTATTTTCTCACCTTCATTAACAACCCCATCAAATATCATACCCCATCGAGATCTTGGTTATGGCCCTTCATCTAGTAACAGTTCATCACAATCCTTTGCTTTTAAATACATCACGTCTTCATCAGGGAAGTAAAATTTGATAGATTGATAGTCATCAATTGTATGGTGAGCCAAATTTTCATGTTGAACACTCATTTTGATTGCTTTTTTAGGAATAGTACTCGATATCATATTCTGATAACAACATTTTCCATCGAGCAATTCTTTCGGTCAAGACGAGATTTTCAAAATGTACTTGATTGGATTCATTTTGGAAATCAACAAAGTAGTGTGATTAAGCATATACTGACGAAGACGACGGGTAGCCTAAGTCAAGGCACAACAGGTCTTTTCGAGGATAGAGTACCGAGACTCACAATCTATGAATTTATTAGTCAGATAATATATGGCGTGCTCTTTTCTACTCGTTTCATCTTGTTGGCCAAGCACACAACCTATAGAATCTTCTAATATAGTCAAATACATAATCAAGGGCCTTCATTCCACTGGAGGAATCAAAATAGAAGGCTCAAACAGGTACTCCTTGATGCTATCAAAAGCCTTCTAATAGTATTTTGTCTAAATACAACCTTGGTCCTTTTGAAAAAGCTTGAAAATTGGCCCACAAGTAGCAGTCATATGAGATATAAATATGGAAATGTAGTTCAAATGTCCAAGGAATCCTCTTACTTGCTTTTCCGTCTTGGGTGTGAGCATCTCTTGAATGGATCTAACTTTATTAGGATCTACCTCAATACCTTGTTGGCTGACGATCAAAACCAAGAGCTTTCCTGAACGAACACTAAAAGTACACTTGTTAGGATTCAAGTGGAGTTTATATTTCCTCAAACGCTGAAACAATTTCAACAAATATTCAATATGGTCTTCTTCAGTTCTTGACTTGACAATCATGTCATACACATAGACCTCTATCTCTTTATGCATCATTTCATGGAAGAGGTTGGTCATGCCTCTTTAGTATGTTGCGCCAGCATTCTTCAAACCGAAAGACATCACTGTCATACCCCAAATTTGTCCTACCTTTCTCAATTTTCTCTTTTAAGATCATCTGGCCTTTGGCCATGATCTTCTGAGAATAATATCATGAGATCCTGTGTGCGTGTTTAGACTGACCAGGTTGTGCATGTACTTTGAATTCAGGATAGTACTGATTCCCACAAGTACTTCCGGATATGACTAGCTAGTTCTGATTCAACGTGATCCTAGGGTTTTCTACTGGGTCACTTTCCTCAAGATTTCTCAACTTCTTCAATGTATACTCAAGGAGATTAGGGTTTTCCTCCTATTGGTATTGAGCGTGGGCGTTTGAATATTGGTTATGGTTTTCGTGGCAAGTTGTGTTACAAGTTATATTTGAGAATTCCTCAAGGCATGGTTGCGCAGGTAACAAAGGTCAAGCAAGACTTTGTTCTTATTCATGAAGTTGAATCATCGTTTAAGTTCTATCGATCTTAGGAGAAAGAATTTGGATTGATAAGTTTAGATAAAAATCTTGAATCGAGTTTAGGAAAAAGTTCTCAAAGTGGAATTCAAATGATCTTACCATGAAAATTCACCAAATTCAAAAGCATGACAAAATTCAAGGTTCAAAGTTCATTCAAGTGATCATTCCAAGTTCTCATGAAAGTTCAAGCTTTGAAAAATTACAAGTTCATGTCAATTTTAAAAAATTCAAAGTTTGACATTATTCAATTCCAAGTTTGAACACCACGTTCAATGTTTGTCATATCAAGGCCACAAGATGCAAATTGAGGGACCAAATTGATTCAAGGCTCAGATTGCATTTATTTCTTAAAAATTTCATATCAGGATGCAAGTGGAAAGTTCAAGTTGATTCTAAAAATTTCCAACGAATTTTCACAAGTTAAGTTTAAAAATGCGTTCAAGATTGCAACACCTTTTCCTCATTCAAGATCTAATCATGGTTCAAAAGGTTTCCTCCATACAAAGTCAATGCCAAAGTTACATGATAAAAATTTCAAAGATGTAATACAAGTCACTATATTACAAGATACAACATGAGAATGGCTAAGGCAAGTTAAAACAATTGAGATTTTATCTCGAGTGTGTAAAGATCAGCCTGTTATTTTAGAAGATGCAGGCGTACGCAAGAAGAGGCCAATGGTCGTGAATTCTGCATTGGAACTTCCATTATATATGGTGTTGACTTAGCTATATGGTTGTTGTCTATTCTTGCTTATCATGATGAAAGAAATAAAATTTCCATAATGAAGGCTGGAGTAATTGATGTTCTCGCTGACAAGATCTCAAATTATTACTCATAATATTCTCAAACTGAATACAGTAGAAACTCTTTAAATTAATAATGTTAGGACTAGAGAAATTTATTAATTTAGAGAGTTATTAATTTATCGATAAATTAATAATTATTAATTTAAAGAGTTTTTAAGTAATTATACTGTACATACCAAACAAAAAGGCAAATTAGTCTATACCTCTTAGAATTACGTTGTAGCGAACCTTGGGACTCAACGTAAATTAGTAACTACTGTGTTCATATGCATTGGAAATCAATAATGACTTTTGAAGTACAGTAAATGTAAACAAGAGGAACAAATGTGTTCAATGTATTCTTAAGCAAGTTTTCCATATATAAATTACATGAATGTGTTAGAGTATTCAAACCATATCTCACAAAATGGTTTCTCATCTAAAAGGTGTTGCAAAATCAACTATGTCAGATCAAATACATAAGGAGTTGTGTGAGTACAAGAGAGATAATCCTGCAAGCACACAAAAAGACTTGCAGAGATGGCTTGAGGGAAATTTTCAGTTGAAAGTTAGTCAAGGAACAATATCAAACACACTTAAATGGTCAGATGACTATCTCTCTGCTGAAATAGAAAAGGGAAGAGCAGAGATCAAAAGACACAAACCAACAAAAAATCATGACATGGAGAAGGTTGTTTATGAGTGGTTTCTCCAACATCAAGAACGTGTGAATATCACAGGAGAATTAATTTTGCAGTAGGCAAGAGATACAGTGAAACTCGTGTACCCTCATGATGATTCAGATTTTAACTTCTCTATAGGATGGCTTGGGAAATTCAAGAACCGACATGGCATAAAGTCATTTCATCGTTTTGGCGAGAGTGGGTCTGTTGATGTACAAGACATGGAGTAGAATTTGGTATCAATTTGGGAGAAAATTGATCAGTTCCCTATGAAAGATGTTTTCAATATGGATGAAACTGGGTTGTTTTATAGGCTACAAACTGATCATTCACTGGCAACAAAACAACTTGAAGGAAGAAAACAAGATAAAGAAAGGATGATGATAGTTATTTGTTGCAATGAAGATGGCTCTGAAAAAATCCCTCTATGGATTATTGGGAAATATGCAAAGCCTCGTTGCTTCAAGAATGTCACATTGAATGGCTTGGATTGTCAGTATCAAGATAAACAAAAAAGCATGGATGACTAGTGTGTTTTTTGATGAATATGTTCGTTCATTTGACCAAATGATGCATGGTAGAAGAGTTCTACTTGTGGTGGATAATTGTCCAGCACATCCAAGAAATATTGAAGGGCTAAGAAACGTTGAGTTGTTCTTCTTGCCACCCAACATGACATCAAAGATTCAACCTTGCGATGCTGGGATAATAAGAGCTTTCAAGATGCATTACTGTAGAAGGTTTTACCGCAAAATATTGGACGGTTATGAGGTGGGACAATCTGATCCAGGGAAGATAAATGTCCTTGATGCTATCAATTTGGCAATCCCAGCTTGGACGATAGATGTTCGAAAAGAAACAATAGCGAATTTCTTCCGACACTGTAAAATTCGTTTAGTTAGTGACGTTTCAAGAAATTTGGATGAATCCACTTTTTATGAAGAAACTCAAGACCTCGAGACTATGATCAATCAATGTGGCTATCGTAATAAGATGGATATCGACAATCTAACAAACTACCCAGGTGAAAATGAAACATGTTTGGAGGTTCAGAGTTTAGAAGATATTGTGGGTACTACCATTGAGAACAATGCAGAGGATGGCGACGAAGATGATATGGTGTCTTTGGAGCCTGTTACATGAAAGGAAGCACTTATGGCATCGAGCACTCTTCACAACTTTATGATACAATACAAAAATACAACACCTGAGCTATTGGATGCAATAAGAAAAGTTAGAGATGAGCTCCAAATAGACTTGAACTTTAAAGGAAAACAGACAACTATTGAATCATATTTCAATAGAGTGTAATATATTTTTTTCGGTTTCTATGAATTATTAATTTATGATATTCTTGGGACCGAAAATTATAAAGGGATCTCCCAAAAAATTATTATCTTATTATTTTATCGAGTTTTTCAATTTTTTACATTGGCCCAAACCGGGACCGGACAAATTTATTATTTTAGAGAGTTTATTAATTTATCGAGTATTAATTTAAAGAGTTTTTACTGTACAAAGAAATTAGCAACACATGCAGCCCTTCATAAGAGACATGCAAACCAAGTCGGCAAAGTTGTCTCAACAAGGAACAAAACATTCATGGAAAAGTCAGAGTTACCATATGCAATCAAACACAATCCAATATAAATTCAAGAAAAACCAAGATCATGTTCCTACATTCCAAAACAACCATCAAACATTCCCAAAACATGTCTTCGACACAATTAAACGAAAAAGGAAAGCTCTTTAACTTGTCCACAAAAATGTCAAACCGAAAATGGCAAGGAATTTTCACAAGTTATGACAATGTTTTCAAAAACAGGTTTAAATCATTAAAGTTTGAATAAAAAAGGTTCATGTGATGTACTTATAAATATGTACATGAATTAGAAAGAAGGAGAGGTGGGATATCAGAGAAAAAATTCATATAACAGTAGGAACAGAACATACATCATCACATTAGAAAGAAGGAGAGGTGGGATATCAGAAAAAAAATTCATATAACAGTAGGAACAGAACATACGTCATCACAAAAAACCATCAGAAAGATTCACATACCACATCACAGTATACATGAAAAAATCACCAAACCTCATACAAAATTCCAAACAACAGATACATATCACAGCATACTACATTTAGCACAAAAAAATGATATGAAAAAGAGGATGAAGTAGTGATCACATTCACGCATACAACAGGAGCAACATATTAGACAACCTAAAGTTCATCAGAACACACATGCTACAGTGAACAATATCATTTTCTACATGCATCAACATCAAATTTGAAAAGAGCATAAGGAAGAACCAATACCAAGAAGTCGTCTTCATCGAACCGTTGCGAGGTATGCGATTCTTGCACTTAAACTCGCGGAAATTGATTGTGTAATTTGTAGAACTTTATTTGGAGGATTTTGATTCAAATTATTGCAGTTTCAGTTATGAATCAGAGAAGAGTGACGTTTCAAAGATTTCTCTTCCGCCGTCAACCTAAGGTTATGGCGCGGAGGAGCTTTGAATTACCGGTGAGCTCGTGCGAAAGAGGAAAAAGTGGCGATTGAGAGAGAACCAAAATGATTATGAAACATCCGCACGAGAGAAACGAGATGGAAAAGATAAGAGAAAGGAGCCGTGAGAGAGAGAAGAGAAGTATTGAGTGTAATGCTGAGATATTTGGAGTTCACCCTAGGTTAATGCCCCTTGTGTGTGTTTTTTTAATAGGAAGCCCAAAATCCTTTCTCTTATTCTTTCCAAAAAAGGCATAAGCCCATATCATCTTTATACTCCTCAATCTGATTTTACACCCTCCTTTTAGATATTTTTTTTGTCTACAATAATTAGTTTATGATTAATTATTAATTAGTTTGTGATTAATTTGTGGCTATTTTTTTTATTAGTTAATTTTTAATTAATTTGTGATTAATTTCTGATTATAATTAGTGATTAGTTTCTAATTAAAATTTTTGATTAAAGCTGCGATTAATTCTTAATTGAAATTTATGATAAATTATTAGTTAAAGTTTATGATTAAATTCTTGTTTAAAGTTATGAGGATGTAGTCAGTTTCTTATATATTTTAGGATATACACTTACTGGTGACTTCCACTTCGATTTTGATATACGTGTTTAATGATTGATCTTGATATTCGACGTTATTGTCTGCCCGTGTGATTTGTCATATTCCCTTAAGATGTTGATTCAACTTTATCTTCGATGAATTGAATCAATATAAACTTTAGGCTTCAATCCTTTACATGATAACTTTTTAGGATAAATTTCCCTCTTAATTATAATCTTAGGTCTATAGTATTAGGATAGATTTTCCTTTTCGTTTAAAACAAAAACTCTTTTCCTGATAAAAAAAATTTTTTAAAAAATACTTTAACCCTGACTCTAACCTTTTTCTCAATTCCTAAAAGACATCTCACAAATGTCAAACTATTTTGCCTCTTAGCTTTTTCGTTTAAAAAACTTTTTCAAAAAAGGACATGCTTCCTAGCATCACCCATAAAAAACACACAACAAACAAAAACCATTTTCAACACGAAATACAAAGTCATGATTCCCTCTGGGATAACTAGGCACTGGGTTGAAAACTCAGACGAACTCAATAATAAAAAAAACTTTCATTTTTCCTCAAGTAATCATCCTTCATTTCCTTAGCAAGCAATAAGATATCAAACATCTTTCTTGCCTAGACAACATAGATGGTCCCCATCCAGTACGATGGATGTAAGGAGTGTTAGAACTTTCTCCTTACATAATCGACTTCCGAACCCAACATGGTTGCGATGACCATACCTTATCCTTTTCCCTTTTGGTTTTCTTAATATTTTCCCTTTCCTTTCGTGGAATAAATAAAGTTCGGTGGCGACTTTCTTTCAGTCCATATGTGTGCTTTCCTCCCGAGGTCGTATTTTTTGATGTACGACAGATGGCGACTCTGTTGGGGAGCTGGTTCACCCCTAAGCAAGTCAAGCCTAGTCTAGGTTTTTTTTTCATGTTTGAGTATTCGTTTCTCTTTTATTGCTTGCTTATATTCCTTTTAATTTCTTTCCATATTATGTATGTATCTGTAGTTCTTGGTATTAAGGATTTTTTATTACAAACCTTGTGGGAAAGACTTTCTACCCAAGCCTAAAGTGAAAACATAAGATAGGATAGGTTGCATAGTATGGGGCACCAAGGAATTTCTCTTTGTATTGTTCGATACGAGAACCTCGCTTAGAGTAGATTCTAATAAGAATGTTGGAGACCGTCAAACTTTTGGCATGGATGATCAACGTCTTCATTGGGATCCTTAACTCTAAGGACCTTTTAGAACCTCAAACCATTTGGCTAAAAATTAAGAACTGATGGTCACTTATTATGGGACACCGTGGTTCACTCCTCGCATAGTTCGATACGAAGATCTCATTTAGAAGAGACTTTATTGATGGAGTCATTTTCCTGGAAATCACTGACATACCCAACGAACAGTCAAAGAAGTCAATGACTCTGATACCATTGTTTAGAACCCGATATCGATGGTCGCGTAGTATAGGGCACCGAGAGGCTTCTCTCTTGTAGTTCAATACGAAGATCTCACCCAGAAGAGACTCATATGAGAGAGTAATCAACCGACATGCTTATGACATGTATGATAAACAACCATATGGATTCATTACATTGGGGTTCCTTTAAACTCTAGATCCTACCTGGTGAGATCCTTGCGGGGAGAGTGGTCGACCTTATCCTCCATTCATACTTGAGACTTATAAGATCCCGTAATCAGAGATTTTGGTTATTTACCTGTGGCCTTGGATGACTTTGAAGACTTGGCTGATCCCAGGATCTTGGATCTTGCATTTTAGCATTACATCCATGCATATCATTTCATCTTGCATCTTGCATTCCAAAACATAAAAACTCATTTCATTTCATCTTCATTTGTCAAGTAAATCAAGCGGATTCCCTGACACTGGTATGCAACTCAAGCCAATACTAGACGAGTAATGGACCAGATTCAAGAAAAATAAGTTGCGTTCAGAAAGGAGTTGAACTCAATCAAAGGCAAGATTGACCAGATTCTTGAAGCCATAACTTGGTCTGAAAGGAAAAGAACTGTGTGAGGCTTTTGCCACAAACAATAATGTTCATGTTCAAGGATCTACTTCAGACTCAAGGCCTTTAGTTCTCGTTCCCAATACCATCATCTATGGAATGCCTTTGAACTTGGCTCCTGT